AATTGGGGGGGGGGGGGAGATGTCACTCTAGATTTAGCCTAGTTTCCAACATGTCCATTCATTTCAAAGCAGATGGTGAAAAAAAAAAGAGAAGCGGGAAGAAAAAAAAAAGCTTTAAGCCAGAGCTGAGCGCCAAACAAGCAAACGCAAGCTTTAGATGAAAAGTGAGAAAAATGATTAGTGCTGAATAGGGCTGCATGGTTAATCGAATGCGATTGTCATGTAGGGTTGGGCCGATAGACGATGCCATCGTCTGATGCCGGCTGATAGACATCACGATGTTGAGCCGGCATCGTGATCCCCCCCCATACCCCTGGCAATCCGCCGCATCCCAATACCGTGTTCGGAAAGAAAATGACGTGTATACGGAACCCCTAAAGGGAATAAATACAAGATGGGAGGAAAATATATAGGCTATTTCAATATTTTCCCTCGCAGTATATCATTGGGTAATTATACTACATATATTTCGGGCATCAGGGAGCCGCTATTATACCTGGCATTGAAACTGCTTTTCAATGCACGATCGCTTTTTAGTTTCACTTTCACTTTCGAGATTCGCGGTCACACGCACTCTGTTTATACTATGGAGTGGCAGTACTTACCACACATTTTACAAGATTAGATGTTTGTCAGTGGTGCTCAGGATCTGCAAATCATTCGCCATCGTCCTCAGTCATCTCTCCTTACTCTATTTATGTGGCAAGTGAAATTTTATGTACTGTAATGTAACAGGCGACCGTTACACCGTGTCTACACTGAACGCGACAAAGCGACTGTTGAAGATCATTTGAAATTTGTGTCAGCACGTCATAAATAAGACGCGGCAGCAGTTTACTGTCGGGGATTTGTCATGTCGCGCTGCATCCAGTGTAGACAGCATCACTGATTACAATAAGTTCTATACACCGATCTATATATAATGAATCTCTATTATACCGTAGATCAGTGGTTCTATAATATTTTGTCGCTCCACGCCGCTCGCGTCCGGTGTAGACACGGTGTTAGGAATGGTTATTTGTTTTCCGTGCCTTATAAGGATTCACGCCCATGAGTATGACAGGTATTACAAGGAGAAGGTGACTTTTCAGGACATTACCCCATGTCCCCAGTTTTCAAAACGCTTATAAATCACACAGAATGAGTTTTTTTGAGAAAGTAAAAATGCAGAAAGTTTCCTGTAAGCGGTAGGTTTAGGGGTAGGGTTGGTGTAGGGAGATAGAATATACGGTCTGTACAGTATAAAAACCATTAAACCGATGTCCCCACAATTCACAAAAACAAACGTGTGTGTGTGTGTGTGTGAGTGTGTGTGTGTCTGTCTGTCTGTGTGT